TATAAATACTGTATATAATATATACAGTATATATAATATATACTGTATATATTATATATACTGTATATATTATATATATACAGTATATATAATATATACTGTTTTCATCAGCTGTTATTGTTTTTGTCTTATTTTGTCTATTCTGTATTTCTGTAAAGCACTTTGTGACATTATCTATGAAAAGTGCTCTATAAATAAAGTTGCCTTACTATAGACGGGCCTCCACTGCTTCTCAGCATGAAGTTTTAAATAATATACACGTAAAGAGTTTTGCAGAATTCTGGAAATGCTTTATTTTTCGACAGTAGCAACTTGAATCGATCATTTTGAAGCATGACCGAGTGGAAACAAAGAGTAGCGGCCGACAGGCGCCCATTTCCTGCTCGTTTGTGACTGTGACTTACAAGATTATTAGTGGGCAAACATTTTTAGCAAAGGGCACCAGCTGCAGAGCCTCTTTACTTCACGGTGCAGCAGACTTGAGTAAAAGTTGTTTGAAATGTTTCAGGCATGTTCAGAGAAACAAGTGAACCGGACACATTGAGTGATTTATTAAAGCCACTTCATTTTGATGAAACTTGTTGCTTTTCTGCCTGATTCTTTTAATAGAAAAGCTACGCAGCGGTAGAAACATAAAGACCTGTTCACATTGTCTCATCTTACTCCTCTTTTTTAGTTTCTCATTTTTTATTCTTTTTATTTGCAAACACAAGTAAAAAGTAAAACAAGCGTAAAACTTGGTTTGTAATAAATATTTGCAGTGAATGCTGATTTTCTTGATGGTTTTTGTTGCCTGATATTTTTGTTCTTATACTTACTAAAAAATTAAAGTTATTTTTGTTTTTCATTTATTTTTTTGCTGCTCTTTTAATTTGAATATTTTCACACACTGTGTTAGTGTTCAATAAAAACAGAAGAGAAACAGTTTCATGTGCAGTAGAGCTCTTGTTTACAGTTCAAGTGTTTAATCGTGTTTATTAAGGACGTTTGCATCAAATGCAGGTTTGGACAAGATGTGCACAGTCAAACTGAGATGTAGTTCCTGACCATGTGTGCCACCTCTCTCCCACTCTGTGTTTGTGCACAACATGAATGTGTGCTGGCTGCGGTGCTGTCACTGCCTGTTTGTGCGTGGTTTCGTTGTCGTCCCACCTCGTGTGTCCCTCGTCGTCGTGTCCTCATGCTGCACCGGTGTGGTCTGGTGATGCCTTGTTTGTCTGTGTGTCCAGTGAAGGGAAGATGGTTGTTCTGTCTCTAGCAATCGGGCTGGCTGAACAGGATGACTTTGCCAACCTCCCAGATCTTCAGGAGGCACCGACGAGCAAAGAAAATGAAACCACGCCAGAAAGAAGGTAAAAACAGAAAGAAAGAGGCGTGAATGTGAACAACACAAAGCTGATGAAACGCTGTATGGTCCACTGATCAGCCACATCATTAAAGCCTCGTGCTGTGTACTGAAGCCGCTCTGATGTGTTGGAAGTGGGACCTCCTCATGTGTCTTCTGGGTTGTGAGCGCTGCAGAGCTGGACCTCAGTAGATCGGGCTGTTGCTGCATCGCCTGAATGCTCATTCAAGTTCTGATTCTGAGAGTTGAAGGTGGAGGTTTGCACCGTCTGCGGTGTTCCTTAAGCAGTAGTGTAGCATGTTTCGGTTCTGTGAAGGAGTGGTGATGCCACGAGGTGTTCATGGTTTATTCAAAGTAACATTTGTGTTAATGTCAGGACTCAAAAGCTTCTCAAAGCATTTATTTAAAAAAAAAGTCTTCTTCTCACATGACAGTGGTTTAAATGTTGTGGCTGATTGGTTTTGTTGGGGAGATGTTTGTACTGCTGAGTGCTTTAAAGCTTTTTAATGAATGTCTGGATCAAACTGGGCAGAAGATGAGATTAAAACCAGTTTCCTGTTTGTAGGAGCCTCTGTGCTCGTCTGTGGTTTCTACAAGCAAACAGCTGCCACAACAGCACAACGAGTCAACAGTTGTTGTTTCTGTTGGCTGATTTAAAGTCCAGCACTATTATTCAAATGAGGAAATCAAATCACTTAAGTTTAATTGTGTTTAGTAACGCATTATTCCAGTCAGTAAAATAAAGTCATTATGTGTTAAATAAGGCTGATGCAGTTCAAACGTCTTCAACCATTAGATGCATGGACTCCCGTCCTTCATATATTCCAGTCATGGTGGCAACGTGGCCAGACTCACTCTGCAGAATGAAAATGAGCCCAGACACAAACCGCCCGAGCCCTAAACCACAGCTGAGTGGAAAACTGCAACACGTTACGGAGATACTTCTGATCTCAGCACTGGTGAGTCCGAGTGCGATCAAAACAAGATGGTTCCTTAAAGAACTGGACAAGTGCGCAGGGTTTTATTTAAAGTGTTTTTAATTTAATGCTCCATATTTGAAAAAGTCAGGACATTGTGTAACATGTAAATAAAAACTGGATTTGCAAATCTCATAAAACTAAGGTTTTTTTTTTTAATTACTGAAATCAAATTCAAAATGGGGCAGCACGGTGGTGCAACTGGTAGAGCTGCTGCCTCTCAGCGAGCAGGTCCCTGGTTCAAACCCCGGTCCAGGGGCCTTTCTGGGTGCAGTTTGCATGTTCTCTCCGTGCATGCGTGGGTTTTCTCCGGGTGCTCTGGTTTCCTCCCACAGACCAAAAACATGCATGTTAGGCTGATTGGTAACTCTAAACTGTCCCTAGGTGTGAGTGAGAGAGTGAATGGTTGTTTGTCTCGTTTGTCTCTATGTGTCCCTGTGATGGACTGGAGACCTGTCCAGGGTGTACCCCGCCCCTCGCACAGTGATTGCTGGACATGGGCACCAGCGACCCCCGTGACCCAAAATGGAATAAACGGGTAAAGAAAATGGATGGATGAAATTCAAAATGATCCTTTTTAAAAAGTGTCAAATGTCTTAGTTGCAACATTTGAAATGTGTACTATGTTTCAGTGTTAATAAAATACAGGTTTATTAGATTTGAATATTCTGCTTTTGTTGACATTTTCCAGCTGTTTTGGAACTGGTTTAGTATCATAAATACTCACGATAATCTTCTGTTGACACCACGGCACTGAAGCGTGAGCATCTAATTAAACTCTTTGTCATTAAAGCTCAAAAATCCCCAAAAACAAAAGAATCCTGTTTTGGTGTTTTTAGCTGAATGTCGTGTTCTTGTTGCTGCAGCTAATAATATTATTACACTAGTTGGGTTTCTCTCCTTTTCATTGGTGTCTCTATCATTTAGACTTTAACTAAAAAATCTCAGAGCATTTGATATTTTCCCCTTTGTGATAAGCCCCACTTGATAATTAGCCTGGTTTTGATTTCAGTATGACCACGTTCTCTCTCCAGATTGACTCTTGTGTCTCTGGTCCCACCCAGACCTTTGAAAGCTTGTCTGCCGCTCTTTACTGCTCTTTTGATCTTTCGAGTCGCAGGCGCAGGAGAAGAGCACCCTCATTATTTGAAAGTAAGATTCCTGACATGAAACGCTCGTCCAAAAATATGCTAAGTTCTGTGATGTAGCGTGATCTCGCAGCAGCAGTCGGAGGCTGACGCGCTCCCAGCTGCTGAACAAAGGACAGAACAGGCTCGTCTCTTATCGCATCAGTGTTCCAGAGATAAAGTGCTTAAAATGTGCTGCGCTGAGGATAACCGCAGGCACAGTTCTGCACAGGCAGCTCTACATGCATTCCTACAAACAGTTTTTGATAGTTGGGGGGGGGGGGATTACAATTCCATTAAATATCTGAAAACCTTTCAGCCGTGCACATGAGAGCGCTGTTCTAACTAGGTCATCTGTGAGTGAATGAGAAGTCTGCTGTGGATGAAGACAACATGATAAATGTGTTCCCTTGATGTTATTGCAACAATAATGTCTTTTTTTATTCTTTTAAATTGGGTTTAAAATATTTAAAGGTCAAAACGGGAGATGGAGATGGCCGTGTCCCACAGTCTCAGTGTTCGGAGTCTGTGAAGTTCTGAACTGTAATCGCTTTAGCCCAGAGGGCTCACGTTGTCCGAGTGGTCCAGAGTCCCTCCATAAGAGCTCTCCATCATCATCACCGTACGTCATCCTCACCCTGTGTCTCTGTAGTCACCTCCCTGCTCTGGTCTGCAGGCCTGATGCAGGTTATCTTCATGGAACCTGTGGCAGACTGTGCACGATGCAATGGGGTGAACCCGCCAAGATTACATGTGACAAAACCAGGAGCTGTCAGACACAGACAGAGAGACGGAGACGAGAGGAAACCTTTGCTCCCAGCATTCTGGAAGAATGTGCTGCAAGACAAAAATAGACACATCACTGGAGGTTTGGGGCTCTTTTGGTTTATAAAATGTAATCAGAAACTGCTTCGAGCACAAATGTCTAAAAATATCACATCTGTTCGTAGGAAAAATGGAGGAAAGAAAGAAAAGCTGGTGCGACGTTCAGGTGGGGAGTAAACACTGAGAACAGCCTGGAAACATGTTGTCACACGTGTAACATTATTTAGTCAGGTGGCAATTTTTAAAATTTAAACCGTTATTTTACCAGGCAAGAAATCCACTGAAATTATTAATCTCTTTTACAAGGATGTCCTGGGCAACGTGCACGGTGCAAACAAGCCACTACAAATACAGCAACAGTATTAAAATATTATAACAAAATATTCGGCAATAAGACATAAAACACAATGCAAGTTTTAAAAAAATATCATTCATAACTTTCTGAATACCTCAAAATGTACTTGGATTATCTCGCCATCTTGCTGTTTACTCCCTACCCTGTAGTTGTGGCTGCTGTAGGAACTGATGTCAATAAACTGAAGAAGAACATCACGTATGTGGGCTGTAAAGCCACGAGAGTGTGAAACGGTTCAAACGTCCCGGCGCGCAGCAGAGATCAGTTTTTACAGCAGATTAGTGTGAGTGATCGTTTTCACAGCGTGCTGACTCATTTGATCCATCGCTAATATGAACATATTAGTGCAACTTTATTGTGTTTTCAGCATTCAGCCACTCATTAATCCACATCACAGCTGCAAAGCAAATTATCAGCATGAATCATTACAGCCAAAGAATTTCCCTCGTTGGATGAACAACAAGCTCTGGTGGCCAACCGTTCTACTGCAGACATAACCACAACTAGATCTGTAATTGATAATTAACACTCATTATATCATTATAACAGCACATCTCTTTATTGTAAGATTTTTACTTGCAAGCTTGTTGTAACATTACATTTTAAACATTTTAACCAGTTTAATATAGCAATAATTAATAATAATCCTACAAAAATATTTGTTTAAATTGTATTTAACGCTCTCAGTACACAGTAAAAGTGATGATGGGGATATATTTACCACTGTGTTGCATCATTGTTTTTATTGAAACAACAATTATCACATTTATCACATTTTTATTTTCATAATGCAGATAAATAAATGAATGAATAATGCACCAAACAAAATTCAGTTTTTACTGAGTCTGCACTTTTCTAGAGTCATGCTCATGTAATACCTGCAGTGTAAATGCTCTGTGCTGTTCATGTTTGTGCTCTTTTTGTTGACTTTAGCTTTGTGTTGGTGGTTTGTCTTAGTAAAGCAATCTTAGTCAACTCAAAAACGTGCACGAGGAACATCAGTTTTACAGATATTGATATAAACTTGGAGTGTTAGTAGCTGAGACTGATCCCCAACATGCACTCCAAGCACTAACTGTGGAAGATCTGAGTTTGCCATCATTATTAGATTCAGCTCTGTTAGCTAAATATCTGCACTAAACAGATTTGATTGAAGCTTTCAGCAAGTAATCAATCACTGGGCGTACAACTACAGTTCAGTCTGAAATTGAGAAAAAATGTAATATTTTCTTACTTCTGTGATCCTGTTTGAGTCCTCACCTTTCCTCAAAAATGATCTGGAAATATGTTTTAGTAGAGTCTTGTTGAAGTTAATCTTACCTGCCCTGGTTTCGTTAAATTGCTGATTATGAGTGTTCATATAAATTTCAGAATCATCTGTTTTTTCTCATGTCTTATTTTCTTATCAGTGTTTTCTCCCTCTGTGTTAAATGGACCCACCTCTTCGTGTGCAGCTTCGTGTTATGCAAGTCAGTTTGGGTCACTGTGGTTGATCAGCCAAAGCCCCACGGTGGACTGGACAAAACCACCCACCTGCAGATAACAATGATGGAGACCCTGAGGCTGTTCGTGCTATCATCTTAGAAAGATGCTGCTGCATGCAGGGCCGCCTTTTAATGAGCTCAGAGATTCAGCCACACACAGAGAAATACATTTGAATAAACCCAAAAGAGTCCGCTGACCTGAGACAACATCCACTCTGAATGTTTAGTTTGTAAAACAT